GCTAGCCTTGAGCTGAAGAGCTGAGGGACAGTGCCCAGGCCCAGAGTTCAGGCCCCACAACCGGACCCAAAAAAAAAATTAAAAAAAAATTGTAATTTTTTTTATGTCAGTCGTGGGCCTGAACTCTGGGCCTGGGCGCTGTCCCTCAGCTCTTCAGCTCAAGGCTAGTGTTCTACCACTTGAGCCACAGCACCACTTCCGGCTTTTTCTGCTTATGTGGTGCTGAGGAATCAAACCCAGGGCCTCATGCTTGCGAGGCAAGCACTCTACCACTGAGCCACCTTCCCCACCCGTAATTTTTGTTTTTAGTGAGGGAACACCAGAACCACTACATTGTGGTCAAATCTAAAAGCAGTTTTAAAACACAGAACTCTGGACAGCTTTTTAGTGAGTTATGAAGCACTGAGCTCTTTATTTATTTCTCAACTCAACCATAGAGTAGATAAATTTAGTCACTATATACATATTGTTTCACTTTTCAGTTAATATAGACTATTTTCCTAGCTATAGTAGAGCAGTATGTTTACAATTGTTCTTAGTGCTAGTTATAGTAATACATGTCTGTAATCCCAGCATTCAGAGGGCTGAGGCAGGATGATTGCAAGTTAGAGGCCAGCCTGATCTAATAGTGGGTCCCACCTCAAAATAAAACAAAATCAACTGGGCACTGGCGGCTTATGTCTGTACTCCTAGCTACTCAGGAGGCTGAGATCTGAGGATCCAAGTTCAAAGCCAGTTTGGGCAAGAAAGGCCCTGAGATTCTTATCTCCAATTAACCATCAGAAAACCAAAGTGGCGCTGTTACTCAAAATTGTAGAGCATCACCCTTGAGCAAAAGAGCTCAGGGATAGTGCCCAAGCCCTGAGTTCAAGCCCCACTGACAAAAATTAATTCATTACAACACATAATCTATTACCATGAATTCAAAGCCTTGTAATTTAATAAGATGATTTAAAAACTGGGCTTTTTGTTTGTTTTTTTAATCGGTTGTGAGGCTTGAACTCTGGGCCTGGGCGCTGTCCCTGAGCTCTTCAGCTCAAGGTTTGCGCTCTACCACTTGAGCCACAGTACCACTTCCGGGGTTTCTGAGTGGTTTATTGGAGATAAGAGTCTCACCTTCTTTCCTGCCCGGGCTGGCTTTGAACCTCGATCCTCAGATCTTAGCCTCCTGAGTAGCTAGAATTACAGGCGTGAGCCGCCAGCACCCGGCAAAAACTGGGTATTTTTAAAAGTCTATGAATTTGTAAATCATTCAATGTTCTGCTATGCATTTCCTGGTAACAATAGTAAGAAGTGTGGGTATTCTGTAACTACTAAGTAAACAATATATTAGAATAGATATTAAGTTTCAAAAGGTAGACTTGATAAATATTT